GTAGGCCTCTTGGTAGCCTCTCTGACCAGTTTCCTCCTGGCTCTTATATCCAGTTTGGAGAGACGTCCTGATCCAGTGAGGGTCTGTGTTGTACCAAATACTTTCCACTTAATAACAGACTTCGCTGTGCTTCTAGGAATTGATAAAGACTTGGAAGTGACTCCTGCCTGTCAACAACTTTATCCCGGAGATATATTGACCCACAGTTGATTGTTTGCTTCAGTTGCACCACCAGGGACTGCTCCAGGAAAGCTCTCTTCATGTTGTGCTAATCAAAATGACCACAACTGATCACAGTTGAAAGTCAAATGGCTTTGTGTGCCATTGAGAAGGTGATTAGCTACATCTGATTGAGTTTACAAGTCATTTTTAGGAGGGGATGATCCTTTGTCCAACTCAGTGATTCTCTTTTTGAATTAAAAAAAAAAAATCTGACACGTTGGTGTTATATCTTTCTATGAGCTCAAACCATTGTTGTACTGGCAGGTACATTGGGCTTGCTCTTTGGTGCCAATGGGTATCCTGCTTCTCTAAGACTGCTCATGGTTTTCTGTGTCACCTCCGTGGTCACTGCCACTGCCTAGCCTCAGATGCAATAACTAATTTCTGGTTAGCCAGTTCCCTAGTGAGAATGGAGTCCAGCTCAATACAGTTTGCTCAAACCACTATGTCTGAGGCTCCACAGCAACCAGTGGACCTAAACAAGTGTCTCTTCCAAAAACGTTCTTCTTATGAGGTACTCAAGACTAAATGCTGCACCACCTCCCACTCACCTCTATGCCTCGTCTTTCTACTCAGCTGCTAGCGTCCTCTCCTCACCTGCCACCATCATCTCACTTTTCCAGAAATCAGAAGCCTTTCCATTGCTTCATGAACCTATGTAACATTCACTTTAAACTATAGTCGCAACATTTTACTTCAGACCATGCTATGATTGCTTACATTGCCTCCCTGCTCTCTGTGGATACTGTTACCTGGGAAATATCACTTTGGGAGAAACTGGATCTTGCCACTAACAGTATAATAGTATCCCTAGCACTTTTCAAGAAAGTCTACCATGAGTCTGCTTGATACTCCTCCCTAGTGAGTGCTCTTCTTTGACTCTGTCATGGTACTCTCACAGTAGGGCAATATACCATTTAATTTCACACACTAGCTGGAACAGTGAAGCCCCCCAGCTATATTTTGGCAAGGTCTAGATGAACTTACAGGTTGAGAAATTCCTTCCAAACTGATTGATCTTGTTCTTCTGGCTATCCAGATTTACAATTTTTACCGAGAGCAAACCCAGGAAAGGGCTCAACCAGCTTAAAGCCTTCACTCCTTCTCAGGATGAACCCATGCAACTGGACCACTCGCATCTTCTCCTGAGAAAAAAACAGATGCCTTTCTCAGGGTCTCTGTATCTATTGCAGCCTAAAAAGATATTTATTGGAACATTGCCCACAGCAGCTGAGAAACCTCCTCATCTAGTGTGAGTTGAGAAGGGCACACTAGACCATCATACTCATTTCTCCTCTTCACAATCTTCAATTCTTGGACAATTGCACTTTGATTACTACAGTGAAGGTGTTAATATACTCTTTTACAATTGGCAATTTTGTCTCTGTCTCCTTAGTAAGGAAACATGCCCCACCGCCAATGATCCAAGGTAATCTTACAGCTATGCAGCCAAAGAAATGTCTTGTGACCATTGTATGTGCCTTACTTTTAAATAAAGAGTTTATAAGTAGGACTGAACCTCTTCCGCACGTCTTAAGAGTTTCAGTAATCAATAGAACCATTCTGGTGTCCAGTCCTCTGCATTCTCAAATCATTACATTATAATATTGGTGGGAGTACTTCATCACTACTTCTTTTCTCCAACTGCCTGAAGCTTATTTTAAACTTGCCTCTCTCTTGACTTAAACTTGGGTCTCTCTTGACTTCTGCAGCTATCTAAAATGTTGAGTCGGGCTATATCTCATCTGTTGGCCTGGTTTCCATCTTGCCACTCTAAGTGCCTTGTCAAAGGGGAACCCAGAAAAACCTTTACTCTTAGCTTCTTCTGAGGCTTCCAGTTTAGTACCTTCTCCTTACTATGACAAATTGGATATCTTCTCTAAACACAAGGTGAACCAGCTTCTATCTCAGAAGCCCTAATTCCAGGTGTCAGCATTCCGTGAGGTCAGATGTATCCCCTCAGCCCACCAAAGGAGAAGGCAATGTGAGAATACATTGTGAAACATCTTGAAAGGGATTCATCCATAAATGTTCCTTCCTTGATGAGAAAAAAGGGGATCCTTTTCTTTGTATGGGCTGTCGTGACCTGAATGTTATCACTGTAAAAAATATGCTACCCTTAACTGCTCATTACAGAACTGTTCGACTGACTCCAGGGAGCTCAGATCTTTACAAAGTTATATCTGCACAGTGCCTATATTCTCATACGTGTTAAGGAAGGCAAGGAATAAAAACAGTGTTTAACACCAGGGGTGGCCACTATGGACATCTAGAAATTACCTTACATTTTTCTACATTAAATCTCATTTACTATGTAGTTGCCCACACCTTGTAAAGTTTCTATATCCTGCTGTGAAGTAATTGCTCTGCTTAGCTTTATATTGTCAGCAAACACTGAAATTGAGCTATTTATACCTCTATGTCATTTATAGATTAAACAGAATTGGTCCCAGGATTGAACCTTGGGGTACACCACTTACCACTTCAGACAAATCTGAGTACTATTTATCACCACCCTTTGTACATGCCCCTGTGACCAGTTTTCTATCCAGGTACATACACTATGGTCTAAGCCAACAAACCTCAATTTGTAAGTTAAGTATTTATGAGGAGCTGTATCAAATGCTTTTGTAAAATCCAGATATACTACATCCATAGGCCTTCCATTATCAAGCTGGCAGCTCACTTCCTCGTAGAATGTTAGCAGATTGGTCTGGCAAGAACAATCTTTTATAAATCCATGCTGATTACTACTAATGCTTCTGTTCTCATGTGCAAATTCTTGAATACAGTCTCTTAACCTACCCTCCAATAGTTTACATGCTACTGATGTTAGACTGACTGGCCTGTAATTTCTGGATATATGTCTTTGCCCTTTTTTTAAATATTGATACCATTTTTGCCTTTCACCCATCAGCTGGTACCATTCCAGTCCTTAAGCTGTCTCTAAAGATTAGGAATAATGGTCTGGCTAAAACCCGGCTAAGTTCTTTAGGGACTCTAGGGTGTAAGCCATCCGGTCTTGGTGATTTATTTGTGTTACGTTTTTCAAGTCTATTTGGTCATGGTTGTTATACTCCTCCTACCCCTTGTCTTCACATCCCTCTGACTTTCCTTCTCTCACTACTGGTGTCCAAGCCTGTGCAAAAATGTGGAGGAGTGAAAGCATGTTCAGTATGGGCCCAGACTAAATTCCCACTCTGGAACCAACAGGACCTCTTCTCCTGTTACCTTTTCCCAAAGAGCTCCAGTGCCATATTGCCATGCACTTAATTACTGACCTGCGATCCACTGTGGCCAGCACCTTGATCTGGGTGGTCGAAGGCCAATTCTTCAAAATGGTACAGTGTGCACCTATCTCATCATCGCTTTCGGCCACTGCCTTGGAGCCAGTCTGTTTTTGTGGGATCTTCAGACCCCATTGTATCCGATTGTGGGGTCAAACTCATCTTGTGATTTTAGAGAGGTCTCGGGGGGGTTTCTACAAATCCGTGACTTCACTTCTGTGTCTATCACCTGCAGTCCAACCAGGAGAATCAACTAGTCTCTAGAGCAATGTCTGCAAGCCTTTGTTTTGTCCAACCAGGACAACTGGGTCAATCTTTTTCCATAACAATCACCAAAATGCCAGGAGTCTTCATTCTTAATCGTTTACAGCAAACACCAACACATACCCTTGCCAATGCTTTTGTAGTAATTCTTGCTCTGGATTCCCTGCAAAGAAATATGAAACAGATATGGACCCAAGCACAACAACAGCTTGCGCAAGCAACTGCTAAGCATAAACATTTTTATGATTGGCAGACTGAAAACTGGTGACAAGACTTGATTGATGTTCATCACTCCAGCACCAGGACTTCTCCACAATTTATGGCTGGGTAAGGGGGAGTGGGGGGAGGGGGTCTGGAGGGGCAGCTGCCCCTGGTGCAGTGAACTCATGTGAGAAAGCGTGGTGTTGCATGGTGAGTTTGTTACAGGTGTAGTGCTAGGAGGGGGAATTTGAGCTGGGGGGGTGTGCTTCCTGTGCCCTTTGCAAGTGGAGGTATTCTTCTGCTCACATTTTGCCAGCTTTACCACCCCACTCAGCAGTATCATCTGTGTCTCAGCCCGAGTCACATGATGGCCATAGGAGGAGTGGAATCTCATCAACACTGGGAACAGCACACTGATCCCTAAGAAGCTGGCTGTCATTCTAGGTAAGTGGTTGCTTTCGTACAATAAAAAAGATTGCATTTATTTGGGACTTTTTGGGTCATTTCCTTCTGAGCTGCTTAGTGACTTTCTTGCTTATTGCCCGATATGGACTTGGCATTGAAGCATTGTATATGACACTACTTTACACAAGTTACAGTTAGGACTGTTTGCTGGGACCATGCATGGTCCACCCTAGATATTGCAGTGTGTCACAGGGCCATATCTATCTGATTTAGTGGCAAAACATTCCAACAATATTCCAATATAGAACAGTTCCTTCTAACTGTTGTGTTTGTGCTGGGAAAATTTTGTTTCATTTTTTTGTAATGGGGACATAAAGAAGACAGTAGGGACAACTGAAGGCAGACGCAAACAGGTATGTTTTTCACTCTACACAAAATGAATGCTTTAATGGCTTTGCGTGCATGTACACTCTGCTATATTGCAAAAATGAGAGTTTTTCACAGTCTGGGTTTAATGACATTTTGGGGTAGATTTGCGAAAACTGGTGCACTCAGAATCTGGTGCAGATGTGCATGGTAACCAATCAGCTTCTAACTTCAGTTTGTTCAATTAAAGTGTTACTAAACTCACAACAGTAAAATCAGTCTGAATATGCAGTAAAGCATGCTTGTTATACTCACTGTGGAACCTAAGGGGTTAATCCTCTGCATTGTGTAAAAAAGCTGTTTGATCCTGACTTCTCTGATCTTCCCCTTCTTACAGTGTCCTCTTCTTATCTCCTGATAAGACATATCATGTGGAGACACTCTGCACATGCTCAGCTTATTGTGTATTGCTATAGAGGGTTTTTTTGTTCTTGGGAGAGTGCATGTGATCAGCACAGGGCCAATCAGCACTGTCCAGACAGAGGTCAGGGGTTCTGCATCCTCTTACAGCAGAATGAAAACTCCTCCTACAAGCTTTAACATGTGCTCGGCTGGAAACTGATAGAAGTCACAAGACTGCTGATGAGAAAAGATACTTAGCAGTTTATATTTTCTAAAATAATGGCACTTACATGTTCTGTGCACTGCAGGAGACCTGATATAGTAAATGCAGGGTCCTGGGTTTAGTAACACCTTAAGCTTTGTCATTAAAACCTGGAAGATGATTGGTTTCTATGCAGTTTTAGTAAATAACCCCTTTTAATGCATATAAGCAATTTAAAAGACCTGGGTAAATCCTCTGTTGGTATGTGTTACAAAGCTTGCAATGGCATTTATTACACACTGTACAGAAAATGTACACAGTTGCATAGTTATAGCTGCAGTCTTTTGGAATTACACAAGGCTGATATAGAAAATGTCAGCTACCACACAATGAAAAATCAAATGGAGATACATATAAATATTTATTTTTATTTAAAGCTAATGTGTTACTTAACCTCCCTAGCGGTATGATTATTTCAGATTTTTGGTGCTGAAAGCGGTACCATTATTTTGCATGGAAATATGTAGTTTTTTTTATTGTAGGCTGTAATTTTTAAGGAATAACTCACTGAAATCTGTCCGAACAAGAGTCTATTAAACATCCCGTGTATGATAAAATTTGAAACATGAAATCATAAATTATAATTTAATAAAAATTCATAAAAAATAATAATATAATGGAGGAGTGCGCATGCGCGGCCGGCGGGACGGACATGTCCCGATGAGGCTCCGTCTCCCCGTCGGGTGACGGCGCCTTACAGCAGGGTCCCGGCCCGCAATTCATTCAAGGGGGATCCGATCCCCATGGCAACCATCCCGGGGTCTGATCTGCCCGGGTCTGAGGCGGATCCTCAGCAACAGGTCGGAGAAATCCGACAGGTGACTGGGTCCCCACTGTGAGCCGTCCACAGGCCCGCCCACCGCTGCACACAGCATACCGCGGTTGCGGTGAAGAAAGAGAGAGCAGGGGGGGCTGAGCACAGTATAACAGCCCCCCCCCTTAGCAAACGGCAAAATGGTCAAAGGGGCACTCCGACATCAGGTCCCCCCATCGACCAAAACTATTAAAGAGGCCTTGGCAAAGGCCTCCACAAAGATGGCCGCCGCTCCAACACGTGGAAGCAAGCAAGCAGCAGGGGCATATGCAGCCCTGCAGGATCCGCAGCCCAGCCATCCCTGCACGTCTGAGGGTGAGTCCGACAATGAGACAGATGTCCCTGCACAAGCCCTGACGTCTGACCTTACACCCACTGACCTATTATCACGATTTGAAAAAATGCTACACAAAGCTTTGAAGCAAACCTCGGACCGCATCACTGCCACACTTTCTAGGGAAATCCGTGAGCTAGGACAGCGCACTGCGGACCTAGAACAGAGGGTAGATGGTCTTGACGCTTCGCTTCAGACACTTACGGATGACCTTGATCTTCTGCATGACGAAAACGCAACATTATTAACACGACTGGAGGACTTTAAAAAACCGAGCACGGCGCTCAAACCTGCGTATCCGTGGCCTTCCGGAAACAATTGTTGATGTCCAATCAACGATAACAGCTCTGTTCCAAGAGCTTGCTCCAGCTATCCCAATCGACAGATTAGAATTGGATAGAGTTCACAGGGCGTTAGCACCACAACGCGCGGATGGTCCACCACGCGATATTATAGCCAAGCTCCACTTTTTCCGTACCAGGGAGCAACTCCTGCAGGCTGCCCGTAACGCAGAATCTCTACAGTTCCAAGGTCATACCTACCAATTGTTCCAAGATCTATGCCCCGCAACTATCTCCAAGCGCAGGGCAATGAAACCCCACCTACAAGTTCTCCAACAACACGCTATACAATATAGGTGGAGCTTCCCCTTCGCAGTGCGATTCCGATACCAGTCCCGAGATTACACCTGCAAGACTCCAGAGGACCTTTTAGACACCCTACGGATCCTGCAACTACATTCCCCAGCGACGCCTTCAGAAAGCGCCAAGCGGAGGTCCACATCTTGCTCGCCGCGGAAGTCCCTCCCCACACGTGCAACTGAAGGTCAACTCAATTTCCACAAGTGGGGACGTTTTTCGTCTCCGGGCCTACCTTCGCAAGATACCATGGACTGAACAATATTCCACGTTTATTTCTATTTTTCCTTTTTTCGCCACATACATCGTAAGGTGTACTCGTTTGGTTATCACCATGGCGGTTACCACCGTAGTTATCCACTCTCCCTCTACCTGTTAAATTTTGGTTGCCCCAATACCTGGGGATTGTGCTACACCCCCCCTCCTGAGCTCCACTGTAGTTTATATTTGGGATCCTGGGTTTTGGCGGCATGAGATACCACACCCTTGCACCAACGTTGTCCAACTAGCACTACTAGTGCCGCCTGAGTCTAGGATCCCTGATTTTCTCGAATGTTCTTTTTATGCACCTGCTTTTTTCTACCGGGACCTAGCCACCATTTATTAAATACACCTGCTGTCAGATCTGCTAAAAACAAATGGATGGGGATCCATTCCTCTTTCGCCTAGTGGATCGGATGACAGGTGTAAATGGACAGGCGGTCTGTTTAAATCTGACTGTCCATAGAGGAGAGCAGGCTGTGTCCATGTCCCCTCTGCATAAGCAGGGGTGGACTGACCATTTGGAAACTCGGGCACTGCCCGAGGGCCCGGGGTCAGTAGGGGGCCCCATGAGATGCCCCTGGTACCTTTTTCATAGGCTTTTTTGAGTTTGGGCAAGGACACAGGGGCCCCATGATCCCCTATTGCCTGGGGGCCCCATGAGTTGTCAGTCCGCCCCTGTGCATAAGTGTAGTGGACAGGGTTCTGTCACTCGCCTGCTCTGTGGGGTTCAGCAGACAAATTCCCTGCTGATCACCCCTGTGAAATAGGCACAGCATTTACAAACAGAAACCAAATTCTGAAAGCCCTGCAAATGCTTTGTGAGAGCTTCTTGTTCACACTGCCCTTATACAAGCTGAAGCCTGAGTGAAACAGGCTTTTTCATGTACACTGGCTTTTTTTCTGTACATTTCACATTGATGCTAATTGATTTAACATTTACAAATTATTGAACAATTATGAAGTTTACCCAAAGTATGCTGCCTTTTAGGCCAAATGTAGTAACTTACTTACATTACATTTTACTTACAAACATTAAAAAAGTAAGAGTTACAGACATTTTTTTTTCTCTTGATTGTGGCTGCCCAATAAAACAGGACCAGAAATAATATTGTACTTTTTAATTTTTAATTGTAAAGTTAATTGTAAAGTCAAGAAATATACAAATGAATATAAAGTGAGTTGGTAAGCTGCAGGAGAAAGTGTTAAAATGTAAAATAATTTCTTAGACAAATCAGGTATAAAATAAATGGTGCACTGATCTTTTCAAACATTTACATTAGCATACCTTGACTGTGAATGCACTGAAATCTCTGGTCATGATTTATCGCTTTTAGGTGTGTTCCTTTTACTACAGACATAGTATACTGAATGTAAGTACCATGCCTTAGGATTTACGTCTCATCTGTTTCACTGCTCTATATATGTCATCCAAAACAGCAAACATAATCATTTTTATTATGAGATGTACTTGGCACCCAGGGAACACTTGATCATGCATCTTTGGGGGTTAATGTACTTTCATTCTCATTGCTAGCTCTTCTGGGAAATAGGCTTTTCCATAGAGGGAGGGGGTAAGCAGAATTTTGGGTTTTAATTTATTGTAGAGGTACAGTATATTGTAATTTATTCTATGTTGATAAGGCCTTTAGATTATGTTAAACTACTTCTGTTTTAGATGTATTATTTTGGGGTTTTCATTTGTTTTGATGACATATTGGTTTTTATTGTATGTTGACAAGACCTTTTTTTAGGTTAAGCAGCTTTTTTATGATGAAACTTCTTTGAGCCTTTGTGGTCAGAGGTGGATGCCGCTTAACCATTTCCCAGGAGTCAACCAGAGAGATGTGTGCTCTTAGCTGTCCGCAGACATCACTCTGATGCATTTTGCCCCACCCATCAGCAAGGGCTTGGTCACAGAAGCTGGGAAAAGCAGACAGTGCAAAGCTATATGTAGCATCTTCGGCCATGAGGGGAGGTGGGTATGTGCAGGTGAAAGGAACAATGATGAAAAATTAAAAAAGTAATAATCAAGAAGGAAAGAGGAAAATGAAAATGAAATGTATATAATAAAAAATTTTAATATTTGTCAAAAAACAATTAAAAATAAACTTTATTCAAAACAACACACATAAAAAGGGAAAAAAGAAAGAAAAGAAAAAAGGAAATGTAAAAATATGTCAAAGTGATAAGTGAAGAGATGAAGGTGTGTAAAAATGTGAAAGATAATATATTACAAATCATTATAAAAACATAATGAAAAGGGAAATGCAAAAAGTCTGTTGTCCTTACTCAAGGACATCATGTAGTACACGCATGAACAACAAGGAGTCCATATATCAGGAGGAACTAAATGTCAAGAATTCTCAAAAACAGAGTTATTTTGTTTTATTTTATAGTAACTTTTTTCATAGAGCAATAGAACCAGAAGAGAGAGAAGTATATGGAGAAATTATATTATTCATAATGATGGGTGACATCCCATCCAAAAATTCTATTATTCATGGTAATGGGTGACATCTCATTCATAGTTCAATCCTTTGGATATCCGAGTCTCAAGTCTGAATATCCAGAATACTTCTCTCTTACAGAGGCGAGAAAAATGGTTGCCTCTTCTGAATTGTGATGTACTCTAAAATGTCTAAAGACATTGGTTTCATTGTTCCTTTTTATGCTCGATAGGTGATCTTGCATTCTATCACATAATTGTCTGGTTGTTCGACCCACATATTGGACATTGCATGCCTGGCAGGTCATGACATAGATTACGTATTTAGTTTAACACTTACCAAGTTGATGATGTTGATCTTTGCCATTGGTGCATGATGTAACTGTGTAGGGACCCCCACAAAGCGATAGCTGGAACATCTTGTGGCATTACACCTAAAAAATCCTGTTGTATGTAGCCATGTACGCTCCTGCCGTCTTGAGAGAAATGGGCTTAGTGAAACTATATTGCCTACTGTTTTGACCATTCTGGCTACAAATTTCACACTGTCCATCAATATCTTCGTTTAA